TTCCGCTCCCCTCTCTGTGTCTGGTGAATCTTCTCACCCTTCGTGCCTCTGGCCTGTGCCCCAGCTCTTGTATGCATAAATCAATAAATCTTTTTTTTAAAAAACAAAAAACATAGCTCTGGAGGAGAGACCTGGGGCCTGTAATTTTTATCAAACCGGGACAGTGCATCTTATGGATGGAGTGAACAGATTTCCTTTTTCTTCCTGAAAGGTCAATGTAAGAGCAGCATTCCCTTATAAGACACACTAACCATTATGAAGGCTAACATTCCCCTTGATGCCTACTACTTACTTTTCTTTTCCCTCATTTGTTCATTCATCTCTTTCACAAATATGCATAAAGGACTTATTATGCATTAAGTCCTTAATTAAGGACTTATTAAGGCACTTTGCTGAGAAATGATACACAAATGAAAACTGTTATTCTCTGCCTTCAGTGGTTTTTTTTTTAGTTTATTTATATGTATTTAACATCATTGTTCATTTTTGTAGAGTGTTTGCTTTCTTTTCTCAAGTGTAGTCCCCATAGAATTTCTACCACCAATTCACCTGTACCATCACCATAGTCCCTTTGAGTTCTTTCTTGATGTGAGCCAGTATTGCTATATAGTTTCCCCTTATTACTGTTTTTGCTGTGTTCCATACATGCTAAAGTGGTGTTCTCATTATCATTCGACTCAAAGTATTTTTTAAGTTCTTCTTTGATCTCCTCTTTAATCCAATGGTCTTCCAGTGGTGTGGATTTCAATCTCCATGAGGTGGCAGGGTTCCTTGCTATCTTTTCATGATTTATTTCTAGCTTGATGCCTTTATGATCAGAGAAGATAGTTGGAATGATTTTGATCTTAATGTATCTGTTGGTGTTTGTTTTGTGGCCCAGTGTGCGATTGATTCTGGAGAATGATCCTTGCGTACTTGAGAAAAAATGTGTACTTGGATTGTTTTGGGTGCAGTGTCCTATAGATGTCTGTTAAGCCCATGAGGTCTAGGTCTTTATTTAGGGCTCTAGTGTCTTTATTTTTTGTCACATCGATCTGTTCATCAGTGAGAGTGGGTCATTGAAGTCTCCTACTATATATGTATTTCCTCTAATGTCTGTTTTCAGAGCTGATAATAATTGTCTTATGTATTTTGGTGTTCCTTAATTTGGTGAGTATATGTTAATGAATGTTATATCTCCCTTAATCAAAATGTAGTGTCCATCTATGTCTCTTTTTTACCTTTTTTAGTTTGAAGTCTGTTTCATCTGATATAAGTATAGATGTTCTTGCCTTCTTTTTTGGTCCATTTGCTTGTAGGATTGTTTTCCAACCTTTTACTTTCAGTCTGTGTTTATCTCTTGTAGTTAAATGTGTTTCCTGGAAACAGCAAAAGGTTGAATTTTGTTTTTTAATACAGCACATGCTACTCTGTGTTTTTTTTTTTTTAAAGATTTATTTATTTATTTATACAAGCACTGGGTACAGTCAGAAGCGCGGGAGGGTGAGAGAATTCACCAGAGCCAGAGCGGGGAGCAGAGCAGGCAGAAGGACCGAAGTACACTGCTGAGGGGAGCAGCGGGCGCCAGGAGAGGTCTGCGCGCCATGCGGGACCCTCCTCCGGTGGCCGGGGAGCAGCCGGGGATCGAACCGGCACTGCAGAGGCTGCCGGCAGCTTTGCAACCCAGCGCTCAACCGCTGCACCACTGGGGAGGCCCTACTCTGTGTTTTTTTATTGATGAGTTTAGTCCATTTACATTTAGAATTAATATTGATACGTTGGCATCTGTATTTGCCATTTTGTTTGTCTTTTTGTGATTTTATTCCTTGCCTTATTATGTTCTTATCCATTCCTCTATTGTTTTTGGCCTTAGAACTTCCTGTAGTATTTTTTGGAATGGGGGTTTAATAGTAATGAATTTCTAGAGATTTTGTTTGTCTGAGAAGGCCCTTATTTTTCCTTCATAGTGGAAGGAGAGCTTTACAGGGTGTAAAGTATTCTTGGTTGGCATTTGTTGACTTGGAGTTTGTTGAATATGTCACTCTATTCTCTTCTTGTCCAAAGTGTTTCTTCAGAGAAGTCTAATGTCAGCCTGATTGGTTTTCCTTTATAGGTTATCTGTTTCTTCCCCCTCGTAAGCTTCATTATATTTTCCTTGTCTTATACTCTTGGAAACTTTACTATTATGTGTCTTGCTGTAGTTTTTCTTTCATTGTGGTACTTTGGTGTTTTTCATACTTCTTGTATGTCTGTTTTCATCTCTTTCTTCATGCTTGGGAAATTCTCTTCGATTATCTCCTTGAATAGTTTCTCGGTTCCTTGGTCTCTCTCCTCACGTTCTAGGATTCCTATAACTCTCATATTTCCTTTCCTCGTGGTGTCAGATAATTCTCAAAGTGTTTCTTCATTCTTTTTTCTTTGTACTTGTCTTTTCTTTTTTTTGATTCTTTTTGTTTCTGTATCTTCGAGAATACCAATTCTGTTTTTGTTGCTTTTCCCAGAGTTCTTTAGTTCCTCCATTAATCTCCTGCCTTTCCTTCATTTCCTCCTTTAAGTACCAGTTTCATTCTTCATTAATTATACCTCTTATATCATTCTTTTCCTTTTTGATTTCTTTATGTTTTTTAATCATGACAATTTTAAATTCTCTATCTGGCAGGCAGAGAAGTTCTTCCATGTCATTGTTGTTGGGTTCTGGTGTCTTCTTTTTGTGGTGTGTCCTTGCCTTGAGGTCTTGCTTGGTTATTTGTAATTTTTCCTTCTCCCTGTTGTTTGTTTTCTAATTTGTTCTATGAGTTGGGACACTGTGCCACTTATACTGCAAGCATCTCTTTGGGGTGCTCCTTCTGGGATGTTGGGAACTGGTGGCCAGACTGAGTCCAGCACTATTATCCCATACTCCACAAGGGTAATGATGCTGTGGATATGTTGATGGGCACTGTCCCTGAAGATCCCTTCTCTCTATATTTACTCAGTTCCAGAATGGCATTGTGGGGTCCCTGGCTTCCAACAATGGCAGCACAGTGGCTGCACTTTCCTGGTGCCTTGATGGCAGATCCTTTGATGGCAGATCCTTTCCTGTCTCTTGCCTTCAATTTTGTAGGCAATCCAGTGTACAAACCAAATCAGGAGAGAAGTGAATGCAGTAGAATTATCAAAAGGTGGGAAATAGCATTTCAAAGGAGAAAATGTTCATTTCTTCTTGGAGGACAGTGAAGAAAGGTAACACAGAGAAATCCCTTAATCTGAGGGCTAGAGGATAAAGGCTATGCTTCTTGGCACTCTCCTGTGAGATCAAAAGAAGGCAATCAAATTCAACTCAAAGTTCCCAGCCAGAAAACAGTTATTCTAGGCTCCCCTGTCTTCTGCTTGCCTTTGGCTATTTTACTGTTCTTTAGTACTACCATTAAAGAGAAACTTATTTTGATTCTTCTGAGAGGACGTCTACTGCATTTCAGTAGATTTAAAATTCTAGTTCAAGTGAAATAACTAGGCAGCTAGAGGAACTGGCTGGCTAATTATCCTGCAGTGGGAAGGCTGGAGGTGTGAGTCCCTAGAGCCACCACCAGAATCCTAGGTCAGCTAGAGAACTAGGCAGCCATGGGGTCTTTTCTGCAAAGGATTTTGGGAGATAGAGCCTCGGGAAATAATGGTGTGAGTCAGTCTGACAGCAGGCACAAGGGAAACCATTTAAAGAATCCTGGGGTAGAGGGATTAGAGTGAGTGTTGATGCAATGTTCTCATCTTCAGCTTATCTGAAGCTCTCACCTCCTGGCCAGACTCCTCTGGCTCCCAGCTGACCCCTTGCCTCCAGGTTAATGTTACTGTCCTTTCTCCACACCAGCACTCATTCCCTTTTTCAAATCATCAGGTGACTCCTCTGTTCAGAAAGCATTCCTTTTACACATGCACACCACCCAAATCCTTCATGGGACATTTACATTCTAACCCCAGGCACTTTTTCTAATATTACCTTCCACCTATTTCCTGCCATACCACACCAGCTCTTCATAAACCATTCTAGCCATTTTGGCTTTGTCTGAAATGTTCATACCCCAAAATCTGCCATCCATCTTTCTCATCTTACCTTTTTCTCCCCACAGTCAAAAATGGAAGTTTCTGTTATCAGGGCATTTAGTCAATACTTCTGTTATTTTTTGTTGTTCATAGGTTAGTTTCCTCCATTGACCTGTAAACATCTTTAGGGCAGGAAACTTCTGTCACTCATTGATCTTCACATCCCAACATGTAGCAAAATTCTTATCACAGGGGCTCAAAAGTGGTTTTCAAAGGGAGACTATTTGTGCAAGCAGTTGTTTTCTTTTAAATATTTGATATGTATTTGGACACTCTGAATGTGTTAATCCTGATAACAGATTTCTAATATCACCCTTTTGGTTTCCTGACTGGAAAAATAAAAATCACATTAATCTATGTCATATTGTAATTAATGTGCAATAACAAATATTTCATGTACCAGGAAGCTGTATAGAAGCTTGGCAAAGTGAGCCCAAGCTCCCTTTCAAACACTTTGAAGAAAAGTGATGAGTAGTTTTCCAAGATGAAGACTCAGGTTTTGGGTATCTCTCTTTGCCTGAATTTCCTTAGCTATAAAAACAGGATTGAGATTGCATGTGTTCTTCCCCTTTAACTCAAGTTATATTATCCCAATGGTTCTACTTAACAAGAGTTAAATATTTACATAATTATTTTTTTGTGCTAGCGCTACATTAAAAAAATATCTGTTTCTCCTAGTGTTCCAGAGTTTTCTCAGAGGTTCATTTGACTTCTGATAACGGATGTGCAAACACATTAAGTGATCACTTCTACAACTGCTCTGTTTCTTTAAGAGACCTCGGTTGTTAAGTTGAAAGATCATTGAACCATATGAGGGTCAATAAAAAAAAAGTCACTGGTTAGTGATTCGAGTATAAGGAACTTGATCCTTGTTCAGTACTGTGTGTCCATATGCTACTCACAACTGAAGGAGGAGCGTTTGCTTGTCGGCAGCTCGCAAGCTTATGGGGATGCTAAAGATGCCTTCTGGAAGAAAAATCAAGCTCGTGATTTTTGAGCTCCTGGAGTATGTTGCCTTCTCTGTTCCCACACTTGTGATAATGGAACAGTTTGCCAGTGCCTATCATAACGTAATGAACACATCTGAGAAAACGCATTATTGGTTGATTGTTTCCTGTTCTATTGCCTATGTGGCTTCAGTGAGTCTGTTGATTTGGGTTCCTGTAAAAGTTCTCTTATACAAGAAACGTCATCTTTACAAAAAGATTAAAGGATGGTAAGTAAAAGAATTCTTTTTTTTTAAAGATTTATTTATTTACACAAGAACTGGGGTACAGGCCAGATATGCAGGAAGGTGAGAGGATTCACTAGAGGCAGAGCAGGGAACAGAACAGGCAGAATGACCAAAATACACTGCTGAGGGGAGCAGCCTGTGACAGGAGAGGCTCCGCGGCTGGCAGGGATGGAACCGGCGCTGCAGATGCTGTGGACAGTTTCATAGCGCTGCGCTCAACTGCCTGCGCTACCAGGGAGGCCCAGTAAAAGAATTCTTTAACAGAAAATGTCCTAGAATGCTGTCAGTTACTTTCTTATATAATATGTTAGCATAGCATAAATGTACATATGTAAGATTAATGGGAAATAATAATCACCATTTCTATAAATGTACTGATAGTATGGCATCTTCTATAATTTTCACAAGATAATTTTTGATAATGAATTATTTGTGTTAACAGTTTGGAGTTGCCATGAGTCCACTATATCCTGAATGGTAAATGTTGGATTTAATTTCTCTTACACTAAGTTACATAAAGTTTCCAGTTAGCTTATTGAAATCATGATTACAAATTTATGACATGAGATCTCGCTTTTGTGTAAGACTTAGAGTAATGTGTATTTTTGAGTGTTTTCATTGCATTATTTTATAGGTCTAAGGCATCCTGTGATGCTAACTGTGATTTGGAAAACTTAAAAAAAATAATGTTTTGTTGGTAAATTCTATTATCTAGATTGGGGGAGTAGTTCAATAATAATAATAATAATAATAATAATAATAATATTTAAAATACATCAAGGTTTAATGTCAATTTAGCTAACACTGCAGCTTATCACTCTGTTGATCCATGTAAAGATGAAGTCTCTGATAGTAATCTATAGTTTTCCCTTTAGATCCTCAAAACTGATTCTTACTCATTTGTTATTCCTTCAATAAGCTAAATTTTCTTTCGTACTTATCTTTTATTTCAAAGTCAAACTGAAACATATTGCAAAGCCAGGAACTGGGAACTTTAACATAAGCAAGGGCAGAAATGTAAAAATAATTGATAAATCAATTCAGCTAGAAATACTGTTGGGAGGGAGCAGAGGAAAGAGCTGAAGTGTGGGGTCTGTGGAGCCCTCTTCACATGCTGATGCTTGGATGTGGCCCATAGAAACTTGCCAGGGAACTGAAAGCTTCCTTTGGGTAGCTGTTGAAGGTTTCTGGAGGTAATCCATTAGATTGGTACTGTTTTTATCAGTGACACTTAGAGGTTTCTCAAGCTTTTATGCAAAGCCTCAGAATCACCTGGCAAGGAATTGAATCTGATCTGCACCCTCCATGCCTTGGTAGGAGTTATATTGATTGTCCAAGACTCTTGGTTGGGCCAAAAGTTTTGACACAATGGTGGAAGGTCCAAATGACCCAGGAGTCAACCAGTAGAAGGTACCCTTTGATTTTTGTTTTTTAACAATTGGCTCAAATTCCTAATGCCCTAGGTTCTGAAAATTATTCAGGCAGTAAGCCTTCCGATATAATTTATTATTATTGTTGGACTATAATTGCTTCTTTACTAATCTCTATGTGCTATAATACATATATGTGTGTGTGTATTTCATTTAATTCTGTACCACCACAGGAATTACATATTTTCATGGGTTTATCATTCTAAGTCCAAAAAGGAAACTGATTAGAAAGGTTAAGCAACTTTCCTAGTCAGTAATTAGTGAGTGGAAGGGCCAGACCTTGGACCTAGTCCATTTCATGCTGTAGTTGGTACTTCTGACCACGATTTACAGTGCTTCTTAGAAGGACAAGTTCCCAATCTCCTGAGTGTAAGGAAGAGAGTAGTCTTTCATTCCCAGTCCCTGGTCTACATGTTTCTATTGTACATCTGGTCCATTTACTCCCCCTTCAACAGGTGTTTGGAACAGTCACAGCAATGACATTCCTGAGTATATTTTTCTCATCTTTTTTTTTTTTTGGAATATTATTCTAGAATTTAGTGTCTGTATGTGGGTGTGGTTGGCCACAAGTATTCTAAATAGTTTAATAGAGATGACATGTGATCTGTAATTTCAGTGAAACTGAAACTATTACCTGTGGCCCCAGTCAGGAGCACTGTCGCAATGTTTTCCCTTACTGGCATAGGAGAGAAGATAGAGTGAATGGGCAGTGTTCTCGTTTAGCACTATTCTAATTGTACTCTGTTCTATAAAATTTAAACTTTATGACAACCCAGTGAGATAGGTGCTAGTATTCTCATTTTATTGGTGAATAAAAGAAACTTAAAGAAGTAATTAACCTTGTCAGGTGATAGAGCTGATAAGTGGTGGAATGAAGATTTGTAAGCCCTGATTGACCTGTGCTGTCTCATTTACCTCATGCAGCTTTTCTTTTACTCTTTCTGACTTTGAATGCCAAGGGTATTTCAAGAAAAATGCAACTATTTTAATGCCACTAAGATACATTTTAATGCCACTAAGATACATTCCCAAAGATGTATATTTGAATAGTAGATACAAGTTCTAAAAATGTGTATTTGCAATTTTAATATAGTTGCCAATACAGAGTGTATCATGTGTCTTGCATGATAGGTGAAAATAATGTAAAAATAATTGCTGTTACAGAAAGTAGGGATTAGAAGTATGCATTATTTTCAAAGGAGACTTAAATGGTTGTGTATGTGAAATTTCATAAAACTTTAGTATTCACAGTTTTATTGATGATTACAACCCCTTTTAGGTCCATATTGCTATGATCTCTGTGAGGCTGGTTTGTAAGAGAGAGTAAGTCATCCACCTAGTAAAGGGTGTGCCTTGGGCATACAGCCAAGATGTGCATATCTGAAGCCAAATTCCAGTTTCAACACTGACTTGTGAATCTTATGCAAGTTCTTTAAATTCTTTCAACTTCAGTTATCTCATAAGCAAAATAGAGGCACCCTAGTTTTTACATTAAAGAAACTGAATATAATGATGCCTATAAATCCTCATATAATCCTGGCACTTAATAAGGACTCAATGAATATTGGTGTTATTACTGTGGAGTTTGTTTAATCCTCAGAATGACCGAGAAGTGGTAGAAAATATGATAAAACCAAAGAAAGTTGTATGCTAAAAGACACTCTGTCTCCTTAATCCTTCAAGAATAATTCAGAGCCATATAAATGATATGATTAATATCTTATAGTGTTTTGCATTTACGTGGTGACTTTAGGTTTCATTTTTCTCACATAACCTGTATCTATCCCAGTGTTGTAAAGTTGACTCATAGGGAAGGAAACAATCTCTGAGAGTTTTAAGACATGCACTACAACAACAGCAAATGTGAACTTTAATCCAGTGCTCTTTCCTGTACTCTTGTTAAACACTTCCTCATTCTTTTAGAATTATTGTTTTTTATGTCTACTATAATTTATAATAGATTAGGAAGATGGTTTAAGCAATGAACAAAATTTTTTTACACACACACAGACTTGCATATCCCAGTAGATAAGAAAAGTCTTTTCTTGGTGTATCAATGGTGAACCCATGGAGCTATGGTTAGCCTGAAATTAGAGCAAATTTCCAGGCAGAGGGAATCTTGGAGCAAAGATAATCCTAGAGGACTCATGGGAATTCTCAGATTGACTTGGGATCCAGAGCTGTGTCTAGTAATTCTATGGTATCCTTCAGATTACAATTATTTTATAGACCATAGCATGTCAGGATTTCTGGGAAGTGCCTACTTTGAAAGACACCAGTGTTTTGGGCTACACTGTACCTTACTTAAGTCTGTAATATATTCAGTGAGAATTTGCTATCGTTCTATTTTAGGTAGTGGTGGAATTGTAGTAGTAGTAGTTATTATTATTATCATTAGTAGTAGTAGTCATAATCACAGTAAAATAACAACAAATATTCATTAAATAGTTAACATATACCAAGTATAGTTGTAAATACTTTGTTGTACTAGTTAATTCTCAAATCTTTATACATAAGGACACTTAGAGGGCCCATTTTGAAAATGGACAATTGGCACATAGAAATTGAAAGACCACATGGTCAGTAATGGAGCCAAAACTGACTCCAAGACATCTGGTCTCTTGAGCAACTTCCTGTTCCATCATAGTGCATGCAAGTGTCCTGCACGACTAGGGCTTTGCTTCAGCACCTCTTCTGCTCCCAATCGTCTCAGTGGATCTGTGATCTTCTTAAATACTCAATCAAAATCATTTTCTCATACTTGACTACAGACTTTCTTTTTCTTGCCTCACCATATCCAGTAAATCAGCAAGAACATATTCACTTTTTCTTTTCTTTCCTGTCAATGCAACATATCACCAGATTGCGTCAGATCCTTATTCTTTGTAACTTTTCCTCACTCCAGTAGACCCTCATTTCTGCGGCTGCCATACACTTGTGTTTCTGGCATGGTTCCCTAAATTTTCAGATATTTGTGTCTAGTGTCATATCATTTGACCAGGTTGTTTTTGTCTAAGTAATAAAGAAGAGTATTTGATTAACTCATATTGGGGCTCTGACAACCTTTAGCAACTGGTGTCCACATTGATTTTGATGTGTTCTGTCCCCCTGATTCCATTCTGGTCTTTTTTGATAGAGTAATAATTTTCTTTAAAAGTTTCTGCACATCAGTTTTATTCCTTGAAATCTACCCTTCCTTTTACTTGGAGTTCAGTGTTGACATTATACCATAGAATCCTAAAGCTGGAAGGCACATTAGAGTTCATTACCATCCTATTTCTCATAATACAGATAATCTGTTTCTGACTTTAAGGAGAACTAACTACTTTTTATATCTCTAAGTATGAGAATATTCTTATTTCCTAATATTGATATAAAATATGCCACCATGTCATGTCCTCTCCACCTTTCTTTGTAGACTTCATCTCCTCTGCCCCTCTTTATATATCAGTGAGTCTGCCCATGTCCAGGAACCCTACTCACTGTCTCTGATTTACCCCCTTTTACTGTTTTTTGAGCACTCTCATCAGATCTCATAAACTGCCACTCATA